TTATAGTAAGGATAGGTGGGTATGTAGTGGTTTATAGTAAGGATAGGTGGGTATGTAGTGGTTTATAGTAAGGATAGGTGGGTATGTAGTGGTTTATAGTAAGGATAGGTGGGTATGTAGTGGTTTATAGTAAGGATAGGTGGGTATGTAGTGGTTTATAGTAAGGATAGGTGGGTATGTAGTGGTTTATAGTAAGGATAGGTGGGTATGTAGTGGTTTATAGTAAGGATAGGTGGGTATGTAGTGGTTTATAGTAAGGATAGGTGGGTATGTAGTGGTTTATAGTAAGGATAGGTGGGTATGTAGTGGTTTATAGTAAGGATAGGTGGGTATGTAGTGGTTTATAGTAAGGATAGGTGGGTATGTAGTGGTTTATAGTAAGGATAGGTGGGTATGTAGTGGTTTATAGTAAGGATAGGTGGGTATGTAGTGGTTTATAGTAAGGATAGGTGGGTATGTAGTGGTTTATAGTAAGGATAGGTGGGTATGTAGTGGTTTATAGTAAGGATAGGTGGGTATGTAGTGGTTTATAGTAAGGATAGGTGGGTATGTAGTGGTTTATAGTAAGGATAGGTGGGTATGTAGTGGTTTATAGTAAGGATAGGTGGGTATGTAGTGGTTTATAGTAAGGATAGGTGGGTATGTAGTGGTTTATAGTAAGGATAGGTGGGTATGTAGTGGTTTATAGTAAGGATAGGTGGGTATGTAGTGGTTTATAGTAAGGATAGGTGGGTATGTAGTGGTTTATAGTAAGGATAGGTGGGTATGTAGTGGTTTATAGTAAGGATAGGTGGGTATGTAGTGGTTTATAGTAAGGATAGGTGGGTATGTAGTGGTTTATAGTAAGGATAGGTGGGTATGTAGTGGTTTATAGTAAGGATAGGTGGGTATGTAGTGGTTTATAGTAAGGATAGGTGGGTATGTAGTGGTTTATAGTAAGGATAGGTGGGTATGTAGTGGTTTATAGTAAGGATAGGTGGGTATGTAGTGGTTTATAGTAAGGATAGGTGGGTATGTAGTGGTTTATAGTAAGGATAGGTGGGTATGTAGTGGTTTATAGTAAGGATAGGTGGGTATGTAGTGGTTTATAGTAAGGATAGGTGGGTATGTAGTGGTTTATAGTAAGGATAGGTGGGTATGTAGTGGTTTATAGTAAGGATAGGTGGGTATGTAGTGGTTTATAGTAAGGATAGGTGGGTATGTAGTGGTTTATAGTAAGGATAGGTGGGTATGTAGTGGTTTATAGTAAGGATAGGTGGGTATGTAGTGGTTTATAGTAAGGATAGGTGGGTATGTAGTGGTTTATAGTAAGGATAGGTGGGTATGTAGTGGTTTATAGTAAGGATAGGTGGGTATGTAGTGGTTTATAGTAAGGATAGGTGGGTATGTAGTGGTTTATAGTAAGGATAGGTGGGTATGTAGTGGTTTATAGTAAGGATAGGTGGGTATGTAGTGGTTTATAGTAAGGATAGGTGGGTATGTAGTGGTTTATAGTAAGGATAGGTGGGTATGTAGTGGTTTATAGTAAGGATAGGTGGGTATGTAGTGGTTTATAGTAAGGATAGGTGGGTATGTAGTGGTTTATAGTAAGGATAGGTGGGTATGTAGTGGTTTATAGTAAGGATAGGTGGGTATGTAGTGGTTTATAGTAAGGATAGGTGGGTATGTAGTGGTTTATAGTAAGGATAGGTGGGTATGTAGTGGTTTATAGTAAGGATAGGTGGGTATGTAGTGGTTTATAGTAAGGATAGGTGGGTATGTAGTGGTTTATAGTAAGGATAGGTGGGTATGTAGTGGTTTATAGTAAGGATAGGTGGGTATGTAGTGGTTTATAGTAAGGATAGGTGGGTATGTAGTGGTTTATAGTAAGGATAGGTGGGTATGTAGTGGTTTATAGTAAGGATAGGTGGGTATGTAGTGGTTTATAGTAAGGATAGGTGGGTATGTAGTGGTTTATAGTAAGGATAGGTGGGTATGTAGTGGTTTATAGTAAGGATAGGTGGGTATGTAGTGGTTTATAGTAAGGATAGGTGGGTATGTAGTGGTTTATAGTAAGGATAGGTGGGTATGTAGTGGTTTATAGTAAGGATAGGTGGGTATGTAGTGGTTTATAGTAAGGATAGGTGGGTATGTAGTGGTTTATAGTAAGGATAGGTGGGTATGTAGTGGTTTATAGTAAGGATAGGTGGGTATGTAGTGGTTTATAGTAAGGATAGGTGGGTATGTAGTGGTTTATAGTAAGGATAGGTGGGTATGTAGTGGTTTATAGTAAGGATAGGTGGGTATGTAGTGGTTTATAGTAAGGATAGGTGGGTATGTAGTGGTTTATAGTAAGGATAGGTGGGTATGTAGTGGTTTATAGTAAGGATAGGTGGGTATGTAGTGGTTTATAGTAAGGATAGGTGGGTATGTAGTGGTTTATAGTAAGGATAGGTGGGTATGTAGTGGTTTATAGTAAGGATAGGTGGGTATGTAGTGGTTTATAGTAAGGATAGGTGGGTATGTAGTGGTTTATAGTAAGGATAGGTGGGTATGTAGTGGTTTATAGTAAGGATAGGTGGGTATGTAGTGGTTTATAGTAAGGATAGGTGGGTATGTAGTGGTTTATAGTAAGGATAGGTGGGTATGTAGTGGTTTATAGTAAGGATAGGTGGGTATGTAGTGGTTTATAGTAAGGATAGGTGGGTATGTAGTGGTTTATAGTAAGGATAGGTGGGTATGTAGTGGTTTATAGTAAGGATAGGTGGGTATGTAGTGGTTTATAGTAAGGATAGGTGGGTATGTAGTGGTTTATAGTAAGGATAGGTGGGTATGTAGTGGTTTATAGTAAGGATAGGTGGGTATGTAGTGGTTTATAGTAAGGATAGGTGGGTATGTAGTGGTTTATAGTAAGGATAGGTGGGTATGTAGTGGTTTATAGTAAGGATAGGTGGGTATGTAGTGGTTTATAGTAAGGATAGGTGGGTATGTAGTGGTTTATAGTAAGGATAGGTGGGTATGTAGTGGTTTATAGTAAGGATAGGTGGGTATGTAGTGGTTTATAGTAAGGATAGGTGGGTATGTAGTGGTTTATAGTAAGGATAGGTGGGTATGTAGTGGTTTATAGTAAGGATAGGTGGGTATGTAGTGGTTTATAGTAAGGATAGGTGGGTATGTAGTGGTTTATAGTAAGGATAGGTGGGTATGTAGTGGTTTATAGTAAGGATAGGTGGGTATGTAGTGGTTTATAGTAAGGATAGGTGGGTATGTAGTGGTTTATAGTAAGGATAGGTGGGTATGTAGTGGTTTATAGTAAGGATAGGTGGGTATGTAGTGGTTTATAGTAAGGATAGGTGGGTATGTACGACCGATGTGGTCAATACATTACTTGTTATTGAAAAATAGCACATCGTCGATAGGCATGAATGTGAGAGGAAGTTGTCCTCGCTTGGCTCCGCACTGGGCACACATATCCTACTCATTCGTACCTTTTAAAACGAGAAGATATACCTTCATGCCACGCATGTGACACTCCATTTACAGTGGAGCATTATTTAATAGAATGTTCCGATTTTAAACACATTCGTGATAACTACTTCCGAGTCCCGGATATGAAAACACTTTTCAGTTCCGTGGATTCGAAGGCATTATTTAACTATTTGAAAGACATCGGTCTATTTTATAGACTCTGATGTCTTTTAACCCACCTTATCATTTTTGACGTTATATATATATCGCATATTCCATATCATCTGTTCGTTATCTCTTTTATTATTTTAACTCCCTTTTATTATTTTTATTATCTACACATACAATGCGAATACTTTTAAAATGAACCATTTTATCTGATTTCATCTTCGCTATTCACATGTTTGTTAAAAAAGTAAAATAAATAAATAAATCACCATAGCCCTAAATGACCACAGCCGTCGATGGGCCGTTAAACATAAACAAACAAACAAACAAAAAAATGAATGTGAAATAGGAATGTATTGAGAAATGAAGGTTGGTGAAGATAATTGAAAAACACTATGGTCACTCTCATGATCCTATTGGGGTATTAGTTATGTCTTTGTGTGATATGATGATCGATGTTTTTGATTACACTCATCAATGTGTCTTGTCCTGTTGACACTACTCCGGCTCCCTTCACGAAGACGTGTCATTACTTGGGTTTGAGAAACCCTGGTAATGACACGTGTTATCGATAAGGTAAAACTCATCTAACTTTCCGGAACACCTGGCCTAACTCTTATGTACCTTTTTAAATATCTTCGTTAAATCCGGTCATTTTGTGTGCTAGTGTCAAAAATTTCAAGTTCAATATGTTTGAATTTGGTTTCATTAACAAGTTAGGCATTCTTTTGTTGTTTCTGCATTACATATAAATATACTGACTCTCTATATGTCAGAGCTAGTAGTTCCATCATATGTGAAAGTGAATGGCTTCATTATATCTAGAAGTGAATTACTTCATTATATGTGAAAATAAACTGTTCCTTTAAATCTGAAAGTGAATTACTTCTTTATATGTGAAAGTGAATTGTTCCTTTATATGTGAAAGCGAATTACTTCTTTATACGTGAAAGTGAATTGATCCTTTAAATCTGAAAGTGAATTACTTCTTTATATGTGAAAGTGAATTGTTCCTTTATACGTGAAAGCGAATTACTTCATTATACGTGAAAGTGAATTGATCCTTTAAATCTGAAAGTGAATTACTTCTTTATATGTGAAAGTAAATTGTTCCTTTATATGTGAAAGTGAATGGCTTCGTTATATGTGAAAGTAAATTGTTCCTTTGTATGTGAAAGTGAATGGCTCAAAAAAATGTGAAAGTGAATGAAATGTTTATAAGTGAAAGTAAATTGCCTCATATGTCGAATGCACTCCTTAGACATTATTGTATATTATTATAGATGTCGGGATTTATGGACCACTTAAATAGTTCGAAAGTACAAAACATGTTAATACCACTAGTTTAATGTTTAGGAAGGAACCACTAAAAACACGTAGATAGATTAATTGTTTTATCATTCTTTATTTACTATAAAAGCTCACTCATTGTTATTCGTTCTTTCTTCTCTCACTCTTTCTCTTCTATTCTTCCTCGCTCTCTCTATCGTCCACGATCTCCGTTGTTTATTCAACAGTCATCCATGCGTTTTATGAAATATTGCAATAAAGGGACTAACATGATAAATCACAGAAATATAGTTAAAAAATATGATGATTGAATAATATATGACGCAAGTGTATCACGTAATTAACGAATACATTCTTGGTCGGCTAGCATACATACAGTCTAGGTAGTATGTGGTCATTTCACATAACTCAGATACTCGTATATAACAGTATGCAGTCATTGGTCGGAAAGTCAGCCAGGCTAGGTAAAATAGTATGCAGTCATTTGTCGGAAAGTCAGCCAGGCTAAGTATAATAGTATGCAGTCATTGGTCGAAAAGTCAGCCAGGCTAGGTATAACAGTATGCGGTCATTAGTCGGAAAGTCAGCCAAGCTAGGTATAACAGTATGCAGTCATTGGTCGGAAAGTCAGCCAGGCTAGGTATATTAGTATGCAGTCATTGGTCGGAAAGTCAGCCAAGCTAGGTATAACAGTATGCGGTCATTAGTCAGAAAGTCAGCCAGGCTAGGTATAACAGTATGCGGTTATTAGTCGGAAAGTCAGCCAAGCTAGGTATAACAGTATGCAGTCACTAGTCGGAAAGCCAGCCAGGCTAGGTATAATAGTATGCAGTCACTAGTCGGAAAGTCAGCCAAGCTAGGTATAACAGTATGCGGTCATTAGTCAGAAAGTCAGCCAGGCTAGGTATAACAGTATGCGGTTATTAGTCGGAAAGTCAGCCAAGCTAGGTATAACAGTATGCAGTCACTAGTCGGAGAGTCAGCCAGGCTAGGTATAATAGTATGCAGTCATTGGTCGGAAAGTCAGCCCAGCTAGGTATAACAGTATGCAGTCATAAGTCGGAAAGTCAGCCAAGCTAAGTATAACAGTATGCAGTCATTGGGCGGAAAGTCAGCCAGGCTAGGTATAACAGTATCCAGTCACTAGTCGGAAAGTCAGCCAGGCTAGGTATAAAAGTATGCAGTCATTGGTCGGAAAGTCAGCCAAGATAGGTATAACAGTATGCAGTCATAAGTCGGAAAGTCAGCCAAGCTAAGTATAACAGTATGCAGTCATTGGGCGGAAAGTCAGCCAGGCTAGGTATAACAGTATGCAGTCACTAGTCGGAAAGTCAGCCAAGCTAGGTATAACAGTATGCGGTCATTAGTCAGAAAGTCAGCCAGGCTAGGTATAACAGTATGCAGTCACTAGTCGGAGAGTCAGCCAGGCTAGGTATAATAGTATGCAGTCATTGGTCGGAAAGTCAGCCGAGCTAGGTATAACAGTATGCAGTCATAAGTCGGAAAGTCAGCCAAGCTAAGTATAACAGTAGGCAGTCATTGGTCGGAAAGTCAGCCAGGCTAGGTATAACAGTATGCAGCAATTGATCATGGTCAAAAACAGACATTATACGTACGAATCTGTACGAATCTGTAGCCATTGGACGGTATCAGTCAGTCACCCATACAAAATAAAAATAGTAATACAAAATGTATGTAGTCGGCTGTGACAACCAATGGCAGACAATGCAAGCCATGATTATATCAGCATCATTTGCAATCTGTGGTATTATGTAAATAAATTTGAAAAAAAATTGCGCTGTTTCCTGTATATTAGATCTTGTCTCCATATAAATATGTGTAAGCAAACTAATTTGACTGTCTGCCTTGCTAAGAAAGACAACTCTGTAGTCATGTCGAGTCAGCAAGCCTTGTCACGTACAGCTTTATGGCTAGATGATTGAGTAAAACACATATCCTAGTGATCCTAGTCACGTGTATTTTCTTTTAGAAGATAAAACGTAGCACAAGCCATAGAGACCATGGATTATACACAGCTATTTGGTAAGATCAACAGTTTGTAGCACACGCCCTCGCGTTCTAATCATAAACATCTAAATGTAAGTAGTCGTCAGACATAGGATTCGAGCGACACGCCGGTCCTCTTTGACACCTCCGTGGCAGTGTAACTTTCACTGTCACTGAGGTCCTTCTTACGGGCGGTAAAGTACGGCGATAGAGCCGTTTCTGATGCCTGCAAACGAAATCAATAATAATAGTAAAGTAACTAAATATCAGTCACCGATTCATCACAAGTTAAATTGTAACAAATATCTTTGTGTGGTGCATAAATCATTGGATAAAACAAAAAATAGTATTTCCCATAACATGTTTGTAAAAATTAGGGTACAATGCAGTTTGGTAACACATTTAATTTTTAAAACGAATTTTATTTGGCTTTTCAAGGGGAGTGATCTTGTCTTGTACAGTGTTTTTTTTTAAATATGCCTACCAGTTTTAGGGTTTGTACACACAATTAGTGTAGAGTTGACCGGAAATACAAAACCTGTTTTTTTTTTTTGGTATACTAACAGTAGTCGTATGATCGAGGTACATACAAGTACCTTGAGTTTAACATTGTCACAAGGTAAGCTACATGTAGGACGTTGACTTACCCACAGTGTGCTTTGCGACTTCGTTTTGTCCGAGGCAAAAGCGTTGTTGACGTAGGTTGCCAGTTCCTCCCAGGGGTCGAGTACCCAGCCCTCCACATACGTCACGAGTTTGCGGTGTTTCACCAGGGCTGGACCCCACTCTCGAGTCGGGGTCAACAGCAGCTTCACTTTCTACGGAGTAAGTTAACACATAAACATTATTTTAAGCTGACCAGACACAATTGACGCTTAGTCTACCAACAATTAAATGTCAGTTTGTCCCATTATTACATCGGAAAATTTAAATTATCACAAAAGTTTGTTGTTTGTGTGTCACGACGTCCTTTTAAAAGTTATTGTCATTTAAAGACGTACCAGGTAGTGATTGGAGGAAAACCGGAAGTGGTGTTACTTTAGTGCTATGAAATTAAATGTTAAGTCACGGATCTTTTTGAAGTGACGTCCAACTTACCTCAATGCAGCCGTCTTCGTCGTCCTCTTTTGAGATCTTGTAAAGCATGGTAATAGGAATGGCTAGGACAGAGAGGAAGGCCATGATCCAGCCCAGCGCGTCCGCCCAGCCGGGGTACTTGTAATCTCCATACTCGGAGGGGGTGTAGTCAACAAAAGTAAAGATGAACAGGGCCTGAAGAATAAATTATTTTGGATTTAACATATGTTTTAGTCCGGCCCTTTATGTGGATTAAGTAAAAATATGAGCAGTCTCGCTATATTATGTGGGAAGAATGGGATATATCCATCTAGTTAATATGAAATTGCAGAAATGTTAGAAAATTGATTTTGCTCTTAACAAACCAAAATAGGTGACTAGCAAATTGTCATACCAAGTTACTAGGGAGTTACTGGTTGAGGAAGACCATGGACAACTTTTGTTCAGACTCCGGTTTTACACTGTGTCTATTTTCATATGTATCTAGTCAAGTTATCCTTCCTATGTACTGTACATTGCGTTATATAGAAAAGTATTTGTCTTCATCAGTATATTTCTTCGTAAAATGAAAGAAAATGAAATTGATAATGCAATAGCATAAGAGACGAGGTTATCAGAAAGACTATACTTACCACCAGTGTTACCGGACTAATTACCCACCAACAAATCTTCCACCACATCACCATCTTAAAGCCTAGCATAGTCTCTATATCCTTCAAGAACCGATTTACGCCTGCAACATTAAAAGGAGTACAGTAAAACATTAGCATTGATGTAATGAATGAGAATGAAAGAATGAATGATTTGAAGTTTGAGAGAAGAAATGAAAAGAAAGAGAGAATGAAGGGAAAGATGCCTCCTACGTGAGGTTACATTATGAAAGAGGGATGAGCCCGGGGTACCCCAACCCTGACATCCCTCCCAAAAGATGCTGGGGAAATTAAATCCAATTTGAAACTAAAACAAATCAATTCAAAACATTATCATCGTATAGTCTTAACAATGTTAGAAAAAATGCGAAATTTCGGTATGATGGAGTAAAACAGTATGGGATTGTTGGTTGTTATATAATGCCGAGAATGCTTCATTTCATGTTTTAATCGCTTAAAATGAAACATTTTGCCATTGAAGGACAACAAATGATATTAAACAGGACTGAAACATATTTATTTCTGAAAGACTGACTCTTAATTAAACAAAAACATAAATAACTGAAAAAATGATTAATCAAATTAACCCACTGAGATTGAATGTCTGGCCAATAGACACATACAATCGAAACCAGTAAGGTAATAAACACTGATAATATTGAACAAATGATTTAACTGACATATTAAATTGAGATACTAAGACAGATTAAGAATTAACAATTCAGAACCATGACATTTACACGACCTTTTTACTAATGAACAAAAGAGAAATCATGTTACAGAACCATAAAGATTGAGACCTAATTAAATAAGGTAAAAAGAGTGACGACCAATAAATGACAGCGAAACTGAAGCCCATGAAAGACAGATATAGTGAAACAAGGAGTCAGAAAGACTAATTCCCAACATTTAAGGCATAAACAGATACTCAACAAGGAAGACCTTTAAAAAACGAGGAGGCGACAGATTCTAAAGAACATTGGACAAGCCATAGTTTATACACTGGCTTACCGTATACGTAGGCCACACATATATTCTCAAATAGGCCGATGATGAGGAGGGTCCAGCCTCCCACATAGTTGTCCATCAACTGTAGCAGGTACATACCACCCTACAAAGCCAGACAGCAACTATAGAGCAATAGTTACATGTGATGTAAACGTGGGCAATGTGTGGTGTGCGTACAGATGTATACCGAAATGATGTAAATGTATAATGTACAAATGTATACCGAAATGATAAAAATGTATAATGTACAAATGTAAGCACGAACTTTGTAAAATATCAAATTATACCCGACAATAGAACATGTACAAATGTATACCGAAATGATATATAATGAACGAATGTATACCGAAATAATATATAATGAACAAATGGATACCGAAATGGTATATAATGAACAAATGGATACCAAATGATATATAATGAACAAATGTACACCCAAATTATATATAATGAATAAATGTATACCGAAATGATATATAATGAACAAATGGATACCGAAATGATATATAATGAACAAATGTATACCGATATGATATATAATGAACAAATGTATACCGATATGATATATAATGAACAAATGTATACCGAAATGATATATAAAATATATAATGAACAAATGTATACCAAAATGATATATAATGAACAAATGGATACCAAAATAATATATAATGAACAAATGTATACCCAAATCATATATAATGAACAAATGTATACCAAAATGATATATAATGAACAAATGGATACCGAAATGATATATAATGAACAAATGTACACAGAAGTGAAATAATAATGTAAAAAACGTTTCCACGCACTTTGCAAAATATCAATTATACAATAAAACATGTAGAATTGTAGGTACAAACGGCGTACACATCCATGTCAGAGTAAATATTACTGGTTGGAAATTGTAGCTAGAATGACATCACTGTCTTTAACACATAGTCTAAAGAAAACATCTTGTTGTATATGTCCTCAAAGTAATACACCATACAACGTACAAGCATAATTATAATAAAACAATCATTTTGATTTGCTAAGAAAAAAATCTTTTGTACACAGGCAGTAATGATGACATGCATGGAAGACAAAAAGTTAGCTCAGTCAGAGGTAGTCCAAGAAAGAAGAATACTATACAGATACAGAGGATGACTAAAGTTTTCTTTGGTCGGAGATGTGGAAACTGATCGAGAACTCCCGTTAAAACGGTCTCCAACATAGCGAACTGGAAAGGAAAAGACATAGTATGCAGTAAATCACAGCATCCAACAATAACAACTAAATTTGGAAACGAAGAGTTACAGATTGCAAAATCGGTCTACACGAAAGTCAAGTAAAGTGAGCGTTAAAATGCCTACTATATGGTTACACACATGTTTAGTTGGAATTAACACAGGACGTTGCAAACATATCCACTGCATCTAACATGGCGAACTAGGATGTTAAATGGGGACGTTTTAAAAACGTTTATATATATCTTTATTTCTTGCAATAGACAGTATTGTCTTTGTGCTTCATACATTTACAATATTTGCAAATATGGTAGCTGTACAAAATAAGTTCCGACAAGCTTACAACAGGCATCTTTAATACAATTTCTACATAGTAAACACAATCTGTACATACAAAATGTAGTACATTTTAGTTTTCACAGTGAAACAACAGCATTAAGTGTTACATCATTATGAGCAAAGGATACACTGACATATGTTTATATAATTCTGATTTAATAATACTTCATTTCTTATTTCATTTGCTTTATCAATAAACATTGCTAAATTTTGAATAATAGTTTTGTTCTCCGATGAAATAAGTTCAACATTTTTTTCCATATTTGGTCAAATAAAGTATCTCCTGTATAAATATTTAACAATATAAACAATACGCTACTGACAGCAACATTTACCTGACTGTCGAGTCCCAGTGTGATGAGCATGAAGAAGAAGAGGATGGACCAAAGAGGAGGAGGTGGCAGGTTGGTCACCGCCTCAGGATATACCACGAACGCCAGACCCGCACCTGTAGGTAGGGATGGACGGTTGACTTACGCGTGTATACAACATCAATGTCTATAACTCAAAACTGTATGACAAGTGAGTTACAGGACAGTCTCTACAATGTGATAATATGTCATCGCATCCCTTTAGATCAGAAATAAGATCAGTACTCACCGTCCTTAGCAACGTCCTTCACCTCCACGTTCAGCTTGTTCGCCATGAAGCCCAAGTAGGAGAATATGACAAACCCGGCAAAGATGCAGGTGAGAGTATCTCCCAAACTGACGATCACTGAGTCTCTAAATACAATGTAATGATAAAAGAATTAGACAAGTGTAGGTAGTAGAAGTATGTTTACTCTTATAAGGATGAACATCACACACACATGTTGTATACACTATACAATTTGACAAAAGATACAGTATGGTAAAAGGTAATTTCACTGCACCTCATATCTGTTTCTTCCAGTACTCATATGTGGTGATAGAGGCCAAACAAGGTGGTACTCTGCACTTGAAAAACCGGAAACAGGCCTTGTATATATTACTGATAAGTGTGGAGGTGGCAAAACATTAAATGTTGTACATTGTAGTGGCATTTTTTCTTTTACACATGTTGTTGCATAATATCCTCCATGACAATTACTACTTACTCTTTACAATGTAAATGTTTCTATTGGAAGGTACGTACAGTGTAATTTACTACATTCACATTGTTACCAACACACATACCTATGGTGGGAGCTACGAGTGGTTATGATATGACAGTTACTTACTTGAGGATGTTGTTATGGAACCGATTGTAGCTAGACAACGTGACCAGGCCTCCACCAGCAATGGACATCGAGAAAAAGATCTGAACGGCGGCGTCCTTCCATACCTGTGTGTGGTGGACATGTGTCAGAATGTTCACAAGGATGATACTGTTCGAAGGGCCGTGGAGGTTTCATAACGCTACATATTTACGTTTTCACTAATTGATTAAAATCAGATGCGACCATTACAGTAGTTTTTAACCGGGGTCGGTTCAACTGAAACCTTAAGATTGTTATGTTTCTCTAGTAATTCCCAAAGTTAAAACTATATACAAGCAGCCTTGTTTGAATTGGTAATCAGAACGTTATCTTATTTGATTCAAATGTGTTACTTAAATCTTTTAAATCACTTGATAGTGACCTTTTTTTGTTCGACCTATAGTTCTTGACCTAACCCTATTTAATGGTGTCGTGTACTTACCCTGGCGTCCAACAGCCTCCCCCACTCCGGGACGATGTAGTAGTACACGCCCTTGCCCGCCCCCTCCAGGGTGATACCACGGAAGAACAGGATGACAAGAACGACGTAAGGGAAAATGGCTGTGAAGTACACGACCTGTAGGGAACACATAGGGAACACATAAATCAATGTCTTGATACCTTAAATTTGAAGACACTTACCACCGTTAGAGAACACATAAATAAATGACAAACACGTGTGGATACCTTAAACTTCACCACATGAAAGAGGAACATCTTCATGAAATCCTTAGATATAAACGACCAAATTGATGACGTACACCACTTCACCTGACAATCGAATTACAGTAAAATTCACAACCTCTAGAGAACACATATGTTAGTGACGTTTAACAACTACTAACAGCACACAATGCAAATCAATGACGTTATGATCCTTCAAGTTTCAAAAAAAACAGAAATCCACAAAAAGAAGACGCTTTCTGTACGAAACACAACACAAAAACTCTCAGAAACTTAATACAAAGTCACTACAACATTCTGCTGCTCGGCGACCTGAATAATCCCACCATGGTTTTGATGCTTTGGCTTTCCATTACCCAGGTATCTTATTAAACTGGTTATGTTTAGACATACATTGTGCCATTGTTAACTATTTCAAATAGTCATCTCTCTCCTCGAAGGTATGCACGTTTTCCTCTCTTGTCTCAAAGATTTAAGACTTGTACTAAACGTTTCCATTATCTATGAGACTCACATCGCATGTTGTCTCTGCCCGCGGCATTTACCTTTCCCGTTGTCTTGATACCCTTGATGAGGCAGAGGAAACAAACGAACCAGGCGAGGAGCAGACAGAGGACCAACTCCCAGCGTGGCTGTCCGAAGTCTTCCAGGCCGTCACTCAGACCTAGCGCCCTGTTACTGTAAATGTCAGTAGAACTGTGTGAATACTTACTATTGTTTAGTAAATGTATAAAACACAGTGACAATAAACGTTATAAACACACTGCGTCAGTTATATTACGATTAGTTACTTGAAACAAAATAAACAAAATGCTGCGCTAAGTTAATAAAATGATTCATCAAACAATGTACTCGGTTACAATAGAAATGCTACCAACACATGGTAAAGGTACTTCAGTAATCAAAACAATATCCGTCTGGCTATTGTAAAAACAAAAAGAAGTTGGTCTATTGCAATAAACATAGCTTACTTGAAATATTCTTCCGCCGGTGATATCCTCTTCCGGCCTGTCGCGTTGGTAAATAAGGTGTCATTCCACAGTCCCTTGAATTTACCACTCACAAAGCAGGACCCGTTAAGGAACTTCTCACCTACTTCACACTTCACCAAAGGAAGTTTGAGGCTGCAGTCTGGTGGCAAATCAAAGTGTTATCATCGAAAACCTTACATCGAATAGCATAGGCAACAATTTAAGTGAATGACAGTCTAACAATAAAACAACATTGCTGTGTTTTATTGCGTCTATTTTATACTCCGTCTTACTGTTGGTGTTTCAGGATCTGTTATACCCAGTCGCATTGACATTTGGTAGTGTCGTGTTCCTTTGTGCTCTTCAAATGCCTTCCTTGGTAATTTCTCGCTTTTTGACTTAGTGTTGAACGTTTGAAACGTCAGGAAGGCAATGGGTATTTAACATTAAGGGTAATCCCAACAACTGGTTTACCTGTTGTCAGCATAATGTGACCGTGTAGAATACTGTGCTCGTTGCCCTCGGCATGGTATTCCAGTGAAGTAGCACTATAAGGTACTTCAATTACCTTAACTGTTAACAGGACGATAAACAAAATAAAACAAAACAAAATGATTGTCATACTCCATCATATTTGTCCTTGCTATTTCAGTAATTGTATTTTTTTACCTTTGATGTTCATGTATTTGTGATATTTACCTTTGCTGTCCCAGTTATTTGATATTTACCTTTACTTTTCCAGTAATTGTGATTTTTACCTTTGCTGTTCCAGTATTTGTGATTTTTACCTTTGCTGTTCCAGTATTTGTGATATTTACCTTTGCTGTTCCATTAATTGTGATATTTAACTTTGCTTTTCCATTAGTTGTGATATTTACCTTTGCTGTTCCAGTATATGTGATATTTACCTTTGCTGTTCCAGTAATTGTTACATCCCTGCCACGGAAGAGTGCTAGTGAAGGAAGCGAACATGTAGAAGTAGGCCCAGGCGAGGATCATATTGTAGTACATTGAGGTCCCGGCCGAAACAATCACCATGGCGATACCAACACCTACAAGGTGAAGGTCAAACTCTTGATATCCGTTGACCAATTTGATACCTGATGTTTTGTTATGCTGCACCTTGTGGAAACTTGATTCCATCAACAATGAAATGCTGTTAATCATACGTAAAAAATCTCACCATTATAGAGCATAATTTCACTCATATGATAAGAGGCTTTTCGTATTGCGGAACATTTTCAACCGACTAGCAACCATTTATTATTTGTGATATGGGGACGAAAATTTCAACTTAAACCAAATTATTGGAAAGTTTTTTAAGTTTCTCCACTGTTTCATAATTTCATCAAATCATGCAACAGATTTGTGTGCCCGTTTGTTTTATACGTGGTAACAGAATATGTTTAAATCCAAACCTTTGAAAAGCGGCGCAAATTTCCAGCACGTCATGGGGCCGCTGCTACAGAACTGACCGAGACAAGCCTCCATGAAGAAGAGAGGGACACCGATGATGATCATCATGATAATAAATGGGATGAGGAAGGCCCCGCCTCCGTTCCGGTAACATAGATACGGGAAGCGCCAAACATTACCAAGACCCACGGCGTACCCCAACAGGGACAACAAGAAGTCGAAACGACCCGACCAGTTCCCGCGCTCTTCGTTCTCGTCAACACCGAAGATCTGCTTCCGGCTGTCCGTCGTCTCCTCCGTCATCATCGTACCCTGATAATGACGTCATATTCAGATTGTGATTCAATTTACAGTTTGGTGATTTAAATTGACACGAAAGTGTGGACATGTAATTCCGTTCTTTTTAGAGAAGGCTGGTCTACTGTGTGCCTGTCTGTTATAGTTTATCCTTCCGGACGTAAACCAAGTGTGATGTACACATTTTTTTTGTTTCAATTTACGGATAGGTTTCGTAGTTTACTGACACTATAGTTTTCGTTGCTGCCAGAAATGTTTTCTTTGTCCTGGCGAGTAGTATCCGACATACTTAAGATTTTAAAAATATATTCACCTACCCTTGAGGGCGTCCGAGAGTGGCCTCGCTTTGGTCTGTACACCCCAGGGTTCATGGAGGTTTTGATGTTCCTTGGGTTGATCCTGGAGTCGACTGAGGTGGACTCGGAGTCTGCATCGTTCAAAGCGTCCTACAGAAACAACATAGAGACCACATGGAGAAAAAAAAGAATAACAAAAAAACAAATGCAGTGTAAAATATGGAGAGGACAAACGTTTTAAAAGAAGTTGCACTGTATTGTTTTGATAATGATAGGGGTTTCAGTGTTCTTTTAAATTAAAAACACACCATATTTTATTGATTTTGTTAAGTGAATAAAAGTTATCACAAAACTTTTAAAGTCTTTTATTCTGGTTAGCACGATGGTAAAGAGTTTGGGAAGTGGTTTTGTTCTTTCTGTAGTAGCTTTTTGTCTTTGAAAAAACTCAAGGGTTTAGTTTAGGGAAAGAAAATCTACATCATTATTTGAATCATAAAATGAGTCAGCACTGGCCAACTAAGTGTATTTAGGTTTAAGAAGGAAAGCTAACAATGCCTGGCATATATTACATTTTAGAGCATAAACAAACAGACCGAGCTGTTCACGTGGACAGTTTATTATAGTATTATAGTATATATAGACTTAATAAAAGTAACATGTCGATATTAAGAGACTATTAAATGTTTGCGGGTATCATTCGTTCTTATACTTACTGTCATTTATATAGCGGGTTATATTTATACATACTTACGTTGGAAACACTATTTTGTCGCCGGCCCGGAAGTTTCACGGGGTAATCGATCCCGACCAGATCAGGGAGTTTGGACATTGTCGAAGGGGGTTGACCATTACCAACGGGTGGTCTGACGTCATCGTCCTCTGACCAGCGGTCATGCTAGAAATTAATGCAATGATATATAAATAATAAAGCATTCTGAATTATTAAAGTATGATAATGTTAACGTGTGCTCTTTTTTATGTGAATGACATAAGATTAAATAACCGTTCAGTAGAGTACAGGACCATTATTTATAGTACAGGGTTCGTACTTATTACAGAGCTTTAACGCTCATACTAATATTCTACACATAATTCAACTGTATTATGTACTTAACTACGGTAGCGCAACTCGATAAAGAAATAAAATTTAAAGATTGCAAGCAATTTTTGCCAATCCTAAAACTTAACTACATGCTTCAAAATGAAATAAAAGGTTACTGTCTTGCATGAAAGCTAGGCCAGGTGATACTGACGGCGTCGGACGTAGATGGTGTTATACACTTGTACGTGTGTCGAATATTTGTCAGATTTCCGGTATTTAAGCTTAAAGCTAAACCCTATAGCCATAACATTGAGCAAGTTTACACGTACTGTTGTCAAACTATTGAACGCCGCAAGTGTGACATAAAAGAAGACTATAAAAGGATGTACATGTATTGTACCACGGAATTAGATTAGATCTAAGTCCGTGAGTGTACAGAATGAGTGTCGCATGTGGTTACTCGTTCATGCTTAACTTACAGTATACAACACAACTCTTTATAACAGACATGTCTAAGTACATTGACCGATATAGTTCTGTTAACCTTAAATGGTGTACCACTATAATTTGAAAGCCTATACAATGACATCACGCCGTGTCAATGTATACTGTCTATTACGTCTGTAGGCGAGTACCACACTGTATTACAGTAGACGTCAGTGTAAACCGGTGTGGTACTCGGTATAACTTCGGTGGTTCGTATTCAATATACTTACCCGCTCATCCTCGTCGGACATCACGTTTAATTGACCTCGGGTGACCTCTCTTGTGTCGTTCAGAACTGACCTGTTGCTGTTATTATGCCATATTTGACCGTTCAACTTCCCGACTGGTGTTACTTCCGGTACGGGTAGGCGTGGAGTATTTTTAAAACTAACCTAGCTAAGGTCGTATCCATCCAGGTGTGACGGTGACAAAGCTTGACCTCTGTGGGTAGATCACCTCGAGCTTTAAGGACAAACACACAATGGCAGGTGTGTAGTCATCTTACCAAGTTTGTGTGTTTATACTTATTCGCACCTGTACAGTAAACTACAAACAGAAACGACAGCCGGGCAAGCTCCAGTCACGTTTGAGTAAATTCGAATATAAACACACGAAACATACCTTATTATGTAAATACACCTGTTTAGAATGGCATGTGTCATATCTATGCTCTGATTCTCTAGGGGCTGTTCGTTTAAATGGTCTGTTTTTAAATGTAACAGTTTCGGGTAAAATACTAGCTGACCTGCAAATGTTTATGCAGGCCTTATAATGCTTTGTCAAGGCTCGCCTGAAAGCAGCACCACACTACTTGGTCCGACCTTAAACGGCCCTGGTTCTTGTTCCATATGATGGAGGTCAACTTAATAATAATAATAATAATAATAATAATAATATCTTTTATTTTTACATGGTTACATATTTAGACATAGTCTAGTTTACAATACGGCCCTAGACAATTATAATGGTAGAATGAAAATAAATACAATCTTAATAAAAGATGCATATATACATTGATAAATATCACAGATATTATTATGTATCACACTTATTACTTACTGTAAAACATTTCTATGTATTTCTTTTTAAAAACATCTACACTGCATGACTGTTTAATAACATGTCTAAGTGCATTCCATAAAACAGAGCAACTGTAGCTAAAAGAGCGTTTAAAAATATTTGTTTTTGCTAAAGGGACATACAGTCTATCTGTTGTGGTAGCTCAGTCTATATGTTGTGGTAGCTCTTGTACTTCTGGAAGACACATCTCTTACATATAAAAACATGGAATTTAAAACATTTGGAGCTTGGCATTTTAGAATTTTATAAGTGAGAACTGCTTCCCTAAACTCATAAAAATCAGATAAAGGCATCCACATGAGACTGTTAAAAAGAGTACAAGAAGGAATTAAAATATCTTTGATGTTCAATAAAATCCTGGCAGCTCTTTTTTGTAACTGAAAAATCTTCTCAATGTACATTTTATCGCTAGGAATACACCACACACTTGAACAATATATGAAATGAGGAGAGACAATAGTCTGATAGACCTTTAGTATAATACTGTCAGACATAAATGGTCCAAGTCTTCTCAGTACACCAACTTTTTTGATAATGTTTTACAAATACTTTCTATATGATCTTTCAATGATAAAGTTTTGTCTATGAGCACACCTAGAAGTTTGGCACAACAAACTGTCTCAATAACATTTTCATTAAATATGAGGTATGGCGGAAAATTGCCCGTATTTCCCTAAGTCGGCATTTATGAAAACGGGAAAACAAATTAAGGAATAAAACATTTCGTGCATCAAAAATGCATACAAAAGATAGAGAACCAATTGAATTTTCAAACTGCTGAGAAATTAGGTATTGCTAATATGATACTGCAAATAAAGCCATATACACTATATCTAAGAATGTGATGGGGTTTCCCGGACTTTAAAAAATACTTTCAACACTTTCCCATCTGAGGACCAACTTTTGAATATGCAAAAACAAATCGTCTTACGGATATTGGTAATTGCCAATATCTATATGTTCTCTTTAGCCGAATGTGTAACGCAGTTTACTTGTGACTTAAAAATAAACGGTGCAGGTTCGAATCCTCCCTCATTTTTTTTTTTTAATAAAGATATATTTTGTTTTTCAAACCAATGGAAAATTTTGTTAACATTTTTACAACATACCTATTGAGTTATCAGTTTTGTTAATAATAATTTCGTTACTATTCAGTGCGACATGCGGATTATCGCCCGAGACCGGATACTTTCTCAGAACTCATTCTGATTGCTACTGATTTACCGAACGCAGGTAGTAGTGATGAAAATTAAATCCGTTCAAAACTGTTTCGTATAGATTGCACGATTTTGTATTAAATGTAAGCGTATACAATGTACTTTGTTATAAATCAATATAAATAACGTGAAATAAGCATTGTGTTGAGCCTTTATCGTTAAACGCATGTACTAATAGCCATGGCCTTAAATTCGTCTGTTTGCAATAATCTATTCTTAGACGAAGGATTCCGATATAGCAACGTATACCTGTATAAAATACCCGAGGACGCGTCATAATAGTGCACGGTTGGATGCGCGCACTATCGTAACATAACTTTGGGGAAATAGGCATAGCAACCCGCCATACCTCTTTCAAAGATATATCTCTACATTTGGAAAGTTTTTGCACAGAGCCAATCTTCATACCCTAAGTTTTACTTAGATTGAGACTTAATTTGTTATTTCTCATCCAACTAAATGTACATTCCAAATCTTCAGATAATTTTTGTTCCAACATCTCCACAGTTTTACCTTTCATATTTTTGGAAGTGTCATCTGCATACATGGTAAGAGAAGAACTTTTCAAACACTTGGGTAGTCATTTATAAATAATATAAATAGAAGTGGCCCAAGTATTGAGTCCTGTGGAACACCAATAATAATTGGCTTGAACTCAGATAGTATCCCCTGATAGTTTACAGCTTGTGAATTGTCAGAGAGATATGAATGGAAAAACTGTACGGCTGATTGAGATACCCCATATGACTTAAGTTTGTGTAAAAGTACTTTGTGATTTATGGTATCAAATGCTTTACGCAGATATTTAAAGAGTACACCAGTAAGGTACCCTTGGTCAATAATTTTGAACCATCTCTCTAAAACACTTAAAAGTGCTGTTTCTGTTGAGTGATGAGGTCGGAAACCAAACTGACCATCACTTATAAGACTGTTACAAGTTAAAAAGTCATAAAAAAAGTATTGTGAACATGTCTTTCAAGTATCGTGCTGAGACCCTATAACACAGATACAGGCCTGTAGTTATTAACGGAACCAGGGTCACCTATTTAAATATGGGTGTGACCTTTGCCCTTTTCCATTCTGTTGGAAACTTACCAGTTTTTATATTGTTTTTAATAAAGTCAATGGTTGTACACTAGAGTCACCGGCACATTTGAATAGCTTTTCAGATACACCATCTACACCGGTTGCTTTGTCAACAGACATATTTTTTTTATCTGTTTAGATACAAAATCTGAACTAATGGTTGGTATTTCATACGGTTTGTCAGTCATAAAATTTTCTACAGGGGGTAAACTGTCGTCAAACTCATTGCCTATTTCAGCACCAATACTACAGAAAAAAAATATTAAAGAAATTTGCAACTTCCAATTTATCGGAGACAGTTTTGCCATCAATATTAAGTTTGACATTCATATTAGTTTTCTTAGAGGGTAAAAAATCTTTAATCTTTTTCTATACATCTTTGGGTACCTTCATACATGTTGATGAAAATAATGTCATAAAAGGATTTAACAATAGTCGACAGCCACAACGTCCAAAATTTGCTAAATTGATGCCTTGTACAGGGCGCTTTCATTTTCTATATCATATGGTGTTTGGTTCCATTCTTCTATGGCGCGGGGAGAGGCTGATTGTTTCTAACCTGTGTTCTGTCGTGTTGTTTTCTAACCTGTGTTCTGTAGTGATGTTTTCTAACCTGTGTTCTGTCGTGTTGTTTTCTAACCTGTGTTATGTAGGGTTGTTTTCTAACCTGTGTTCTGTAGTGTTGTTGTCTAACCTGTGTTTTGTAGTGTTGTTTTCTAACCAGTGTTCTATAGTGTTGTTTTCTAACCTGTGTTTTGTAGTGTTGTTGTCTAACCTGTGTTCTGTAGTGCTGTTTTCTAACCTGTGTTCTGTAGTGTTGTTTTCTAACCAGTGTTCTATAGTGTTGTTTTCTAACCTGTGTTTTGTAGTGTTGTTGTCTAACCTGTGTTCTGTAGTGCTGTTTTCTAACCTGTGTTCTGTAGTGTTGTTTTCTAACCTGTGTTCTATAGTGGTGTTTTCTAACCTGTGTTCTGTAGTGTTGTTTTCCAACCTGTGTTCTATAGTGTTGTTTTCTAACCTGTGTTATGTAGGGTTGTTTTCTAACCTGTGTTCTGTTGTGTTGTTGTCTAACCTGTGTTTTGTAGTGTTGTTGTCTAACCTGTGTTCTGTAGTGTTGTTTTCTAACCTGTGTTTTATAGTGTTGTTTTCTATTCTGTGTTCTGTAGTGTTGTTTTCTAACCTGTGTTTTATAGTGTTGTTTTCTATTCTGTGTTCTGTAGTGTTGTTTTCTAACCTGTGTTCTATAGTGTTGTTTTTTAACCTGTGTTAAGTAGGGTTGTTTTCTAACCTTTGTTATGTAGTGTTGTTTTCTAACCTGTGTTCTGTCGTGTTGTTTTCTAACCTGTGTTCTGTAGTGATGTTTTCTAACCTGTGTTCTGTCGTGTTGTTTTCTAACCTGTGTTCTGTAGTGATGTTTTCTAACCTGTGTTCTGTCGTGTTGTTTTCTAACCTGTGTTCTGTAGTGATGTTTTCTAACCTGTGTTCTGTCGTGTTGTTTTCTAACCTGTGTTATGTATGGTTGTTTTCTAACCTGTGTTCTGTAGTGTTGTTGTCTAACCTGTGTTTTGTAGTGTTGTTGTCTAACCTGTGTTCTGTAGTGTTGTTTTCTAACCCGTGTTCTGTAGTGTTGTTTTCTAACCTGTGTTCTATAGTGTTGTTTTTTAACCTGTGTTAAGTAGGGTTGTTTTCTAACCTGTGTTATGTAGTGTTGTTTTCTAACCTGTGTTCTATAGTGTTGTTTTCTAACCTGTGTT